CAGCGGCCTGGCCCGGGCCGGGGCCCCAGAGACCTGCGGCGCCAGGGGGCGGGGGGCGCGGGCGGGAGGTGGCGCGAAGGCCGAGGAAGTGACGACTGGGCAGGGCGCCATCTTCATGGAAGAGGCGGAGGGGTGGAGAAGCCGCGGCTCGGGGAGGAGTTGGAGCGGGGGAGCTGGGGGGTGTGTGGGAGGAGGAAGAGCTGGAGGTGGGAGCGGCGGCGCAGCAGGGCCCGGGGCCCCTAAACCTGGATGGGCCAGCGGTGGACCCGCTGGAGGCCATCCAGTGGGAGCTGGAGGCTGGGAGTGCCCAGGCAGACAGGGCCTACCTGCGGCTGCAGCGCAGGTTTGGGCGCATCCGCCGTCTGCACCTGGCCCCTAGGAGTTTCGTCGTCCAGAATATTCCTGGCTTCTGGGTCACCGCCTTTCTGAACCACCCGCAGCTGTTAGCCATGATCATAACTCGTGATGAAGACATGCTCTGCCACCTGATACATTTGGAGGTGAGGGAGCTCAGGAACGCCAGGGCCCAATGCAAGTTCAAGTTCCGCTTTTGGAACAACCCCTACTTCCGGAACAAGGTGCTCATGAAGGAGTATGAGTGCAGATCCTTAGGACCGGTGGTGTCAGTTGGAACTCGAATCTGAGGGCACCCGGGCCAGGAACGCTCCGTTCTGGTACACCGGGACACCGTCTGCAGCTTCTTCACCTGGTTCTTGCAGCACAGTCTCCCAGAGGCTGACAAGGTTGCCCAGATTATTAAGGAGGACCTGTGGCCCAAACCCCTGCAGTACCACCTGCTGGAGGATAGGCCCCACAGAGCCAGGAGAGGCCTGGCAAGGTGGCCCACAGAGGCCCCTCCTAGGCTCTCAAGTTCCAGTTTGGCTAAGTCTCTCGCTAGGACCTGGCCCCTACATAAGACTCCCTTCTACCTGTGCTTAGGCCAATGACATAACCCTCTGTCTGCTTGCACTTTCATGCATCCTGGCCCCTCTGAACATTCAGTGGACTCTGATCCAAGATTGTGGCCTCCATGGCCAAGCTCTTCGGTTTCCATGTGGCCTTCATGCATCACATGCCACAGTGTCTACCAAGCACCCAGTGCTATGGATGGGTATTGCCATCAGTTTCATGATCCTGGCCTTCCTTCCCACCCATTTTTTTTTTTTTTTAAGTAAGCTCTATGCCTATCGTGGGGCTTGAACTCATGATTCTGAGATCGAGAGTCTCAAACTCTACCGACTGAGCCAGCCAGACACCCCCTTCCCACCCATTTTTGACATGGGGACCCGCAAGTCATTGCTAGAAGGACCAGTGCCTCTTTGAGGCCTACTACTTCAAGGCCACAACATGTTGGGCTCCATATTTATGAGTGCGGAATATTGGTTGTGGCAAACTGAGTCTCATCACCCAAGAAGAAGTAGGTGCGTTTGGTGCTGGCTGTCAGTCGGCCTTGGACACTCCATCCTCAGGGCCTCAGGACTGCAGGACCACAGGCCCAGCTTCCCCAGGCTCCTGGCTCCTGGGCAGCTGGTAGAATGGTCACACAGCCAGTAGACAACTACTGGGCATGGTTGAGGTCAAGGGCCGGAAGCAGTGGGCAAGGCATTTTTTTTTTTTAAAGATTTTATTTATTTATTTAAATTTGAGAGAGAGAGAATGAGAGACAGCATGAGAGGGAGGAGAGTCAGAGGGAGAAGCAGACTCCCCGCCGAGCAGGGAGCCCGATGCGGGACTCGATCCCGGGACTCCAGGATCATGACCTGAG